CAGGAAGGAGTTTTATATTGAGGAATATTTTCCAGAAAAATGAAATGGGTGGGAATAATACATTCACAGTAGATGAACACTCTGTGACTTTAAATCAATGTGAACTATTTCCTATCCTTTATATTTAGTTGACTTTCCCAAGAATTCCATATTTGTATAACTCTAATTTCAATGTTATATTTTCATCATAGCCCACTGTATTAAATCTATTCTAATCAACAATAAGCTATAAAGACCATCATACTTTGACTCTCTATTGAGCTTTGCCACACAAAAGTTTCATGGAAAGCAAAATCATATGGGAAAATAAAATAAAAACAGTCCAATCAAGATAAACACAGACAGATACATACATATAAACTTTATAATAATTAAAGACTGTAAAATACTAAACCATATTGTCTTTCTAGTCTGATAAAAATTAAATCAATAATAAAATGCTTCTCAGGATGAGAAAATCTGAAGAGAGTAACTATACGATCTAATTCAGCAAATGTTTATTGAGAATTTATAGACCTTTGTACACATACACCTTGACATACACATTTGTGGTATGGCATGCAGCAGGAAGACACAGAGCTAAGAGGGAGATGCTTCAAGAAGCAAAGTTTACTACAGTTAGAATTTTTACAGGAATCCTGCAATGATAATGTGACTTAATTGAAAGTAGCTCTAAACAGAGGAAACTACTATCCTTTGACATTTGAAAGGGTAAGATATCAAAAGGAATAACATTTTAACAGTTACTATATTTTATACTAACTATAGATATAGTATTGGATTCAAGAAAATTACTACTGATTTAAGTTATAACCAAAAGTCTTAACTCTCAAATACCAAAAAGAAACATCAAACTTTATGCAAAAAAAAAACACAAAAAAATTCTATGCAAGAACTCCTTAAAGAGCAAAGTAATATCAATGTAATAATTTATACCTTCTGTATAAAAATTTTAACATGAAATGCTCCAAATTCCAAAACTGTGTGAATGCCAACATGATACCACATGGAAAATTCTACACCTGACCTCATATAATGGTTTGCAGTAAAAACACTGCAATATGAAAATATTGTATAAAATTATCTTCTAGCTATGCGTATCAGTGGGTCTTCAAAAAGTTCATGGTAAATGTGTATAATGAAAATAACTGCATACATTTCAAAATTCTTTTGCACTCAGATAGACTCACACTTTAATTCGATTTTTTTAACAAACTTTTTTCTTTCAAAGTCTTTTTCTTTCTTTCAATGAGAGTGAGAGACAGAGAACAGGATCTGATGCTGAGATCCCCTAAGCCTTCTCAGTCAGCAAGGATAATGGATGTTTCTAGTGGTACACGTCAGCCCAGGAACAAAACTGGCAATGTCCCAGTTGTATTCAGCATCACTTGAGAACTGTATTACCACTGTACCACCTAGCCAGCTTCCATGAACATTTTGCAGTTCCCTCATATAAGGTGTGTATGAAATATAAATGAATTTCATATTTAAATTTGGATTCCAGCCCTAAGATATCTCACTATATACATACAAATACTCCAATATCCAAAAATATCTGAAATTTGAAACTCTTCTGGTCTGAAGCATTTTAGATAAGGCATTATTAACATGACACATATTTATCACCTCTTATTTTAATACTTCAAAGTAACATAACACTTACCTTATAACTATAAGCATGGCTATAAGTATTGAACAGATAGGATCTGCTATCATAAGACCAAAATTCTGCATCATGATGGCAGAGGCAATTACACCAACACTCCCAAGTGTATCTGCTAGAATGTGCAAAAATACACCTAGAAATAAAGCACAATAAAAATTAAAATATCTTTTGGTCCATTTAAAATATAACTGTTTCTTAAAATTATATTCTTTTTCTTCTTCCTTTTTTTTTTGGGGGGGGGGAGAGGATTTTGCTATAGAACACGGGCACACACCAGACAGACAGAGAGAGACAGAGAGACAGAAAGTGAGAAATCACCCCCCAGGAGGGATGGCCATGCTGCAATCCCTTCTCCTCCATTCTCCTCTCGGGATCTTGGGCATGCATGCACACGTGCACCCAGTGTGAGTTTAAGCCACCGGGTCCAGGACTCGAACTGCAGTCAACTACGTGGGAGTCCAGCGACATAGCCATTATGCCAACTGCTGGTCCCTTTAGAACTATATTCTTACATATATATAAAATTAAAAATATATACATATAACTAAATATCAATTTAAAGAATCATAAGCATGTATATTTACTGTTCAGTAACTAAATAATGACTTTACAAATTAAAACAATCTTTTCTTTTTCAAATCAGTAAGTGTTAAAATATCCGACTAGTAAATTACACTTGTTCTTAATGGTATATTATAAATGAAGCAGAGAAACAAGTTGATTTAAAAAATACTCTGTGGCTCAGCCAATTTTGGTGACTGGAGGCACAACACATTACTAGAGCCACATAGAAGGCCCAGGTTCAGATACCAGGTTGAGCTAAATTTGCTAGCCACACTGTGTGTACCTGTGATCCTGGCTGGCTGAGGGAAGGATCACAGCACTGCAAAATGAGTATCTATCAATCTGTCTCTTTCATGAATGACAGAAAGATATAAACTTTAAAAACACCCACTGTGAACATTTATGTCTGGTTAAGAGTCCAAAATTTAATAATGATAATAATGTGTTAGGGGGAAGGAAACTGCATTAGGCTGAAAATTGGTCAAGAAAACACAACTTCAAATATATGAACATACAGAGCCCTCTGCTGGTGATTAAAATTATTACCATTTGGAACTAAAATTTTCTATGGACTAAAATTCTACTTGTCATAATATACTTATTAATTATTCTAAAGGTTTTGCTACCTAAATTAGCTACATACCATGCTTAGTTTAGATGTAAACAATGTTTGAACTTTCAGTAAATTAAAAAACTAAATTAGGGTACTGACATTCTAACTGGTAAAGAAATAAGATACAATATTAACATTTAATAAGTGATACTTGCCTGGAAATAATGAAAAATGTGACTAAGCAAATTTCATATTCAATTTATTCTGAAAATAGTCCACTAAGGTAATAAATTATTAAACATTAAGATTTTTAATAGGTAAAGTTTACTATATAGCAAATTTTTTTAAACTTCAACCATGCCTTGCAAAAAAAAAAAAACAGTTCATCAATATCATTAATTATCCAATATGAAAAGGACTAGCTAATATATAAAGTACATTTTAATACTTTAAAAATATTTTTTCTTTTTTATCATTCACTCGTCAATGAAGGGCAAACTACAATTAATTTTAGGTACAGAAACACAGATTTACTTCAACAGATTTAAAAACTGTTAATGAGCCCAATCAAATCTTAATGTATTCTTGGAAATTATACTTCATCTCCTACTGAATAATTTTCTATCAAGTATTATACATATATATCTCACTCTCACTATCTACATACACTTTTTTATTTGTAAAGAGTTTTAACTCGTTAACTCAAAAAGCTAATGTCTCTCTTTTTTTTTTTTGGAGAGATTTTCACTGTAGGGCGTGTGCGCTCGCCAGACAGACAGAGAGAGACATAGAGACAGAAAGCGAGAAATCACCCCCCAGGGGGGATGGTCACGCCGCAATCCCTTCTCCTCCATTCTCCTCTCGGGATCTTGGGCACGCACGCACAAGCGCCCGGCGTGAGTTTTAAGCCACCGGGTCCAGGACACGAACCGCGGTGGACTACGTGGGAGTCTAGCGACATAGCCATTACGCTAACTGCTGGTTCCCAAAAAGCTAATGTTTCTCTTTAAAGAAGTTTTTCTGGAACAAAAAAGTTTTGTCTGTGCAAACTTACAAACATTCCTTTTCTCTAATATATTTGAAATAGCAAAGAATTAAGTAGGGTAGTAAGTATTGGGGCCACTCTTAAGTACTGAAAATGAAAATGGAAAAAAGTGAATTGAACATCCCTAGCTATAAAATCTCATATGTACATGATTTAAAATAGAATCAAGAATTAAAATAGCTCTACTCACTGAAAGTAAAATGAAAAGAATCATTGATTTTTAATTTTCCCTAAACAGAAAAGTCCATGGCTATATTTTATTTGTTAATCTGAAAACAATGTTATTAGCAAGTTACATTAATTATCTAAGCCCTTCTTTATAGCAACTGTTCAAAGAGAAAAATCAGTAAAGAAAGAAATATAAATACATTTAACTTAAATAAGGTAATGCCTTAGCAACTTGGTAGGATATTGATACTCTAACTTCCCAAAAGTTTAGTAAAAATTCTGCAAGCCAAACAGGGGTCAAAAATCAAGGTGTAGCAAATAACCGAAAAATTTAGTTGACCCATAGATTTTTATGTATAAGTATCTCCCTAGGTTTTTTTGTTTGTTTGTTTGCCAGAGGACATGGGCACTCACCAGAGAGAAGGACAGGGAAAATGAGGAAGCACCCGGCCCCCCCTTGGGGAGATGGTCACACTGCACTCCCTTCTCCTCCATTTCTCTTTTCATTCAGGAATCTGGACACACATATACACACAGACCATATGTTTTTCAAGTCACCAGGTCTGGGACTCAAACTGTGGCCATTGGGATTTGGCTGCCCATGCATCATGCCACCAGCTGACCTTACATGGGCATTTTGCAGGAAAGATTTAACACTTCCATGCAGTAATCTCTATCATTCAACTATCTAACTGGCTGATTTAACCACCATAAATTGATGGATATTCAGAAGATAAAAACTTATTTTCATAAGAGCTTCTATAAAATATAATTGGGACAACAAGTTTAACTTTCTCTCCTCCAACTTGTGATGATGATTATCAAAATTGAATTCTTATTATCAAATAGGTCACAAGGTGGCATGGCGGTTAAGGAAACTGGATCCCACATGGCCAACTGCACAGTTTGAGTTCCAGACCCAGCATCTTAAAACACACTGGGTGTGTGTGAGCACATGCCCAAAGTCCCAAGCAGAAAATGGAGAAGGTATTGCAGTATGATCATCCCTGTGGGGAGGTAGGGGGGATATTTCTTTTTTTCTCTCTCTCTCTTTCTCCAGCGATTGTACAACATCGTATAGCAAACTTTTGAAATAAATAAATCACATTATCAAGCTAATTTATAGCACTTAATATGGATGCTCAAACATGCATGAACACAAGCTATTTCAGAAATGTTGTTCTAAAACAATTCTATAAATTTGTAAATGAAAGATACAGTTGAGCATTGTAAAAATAAATTCCTCATTATGGGGAAACATAATCATAGTGAAAGCACACAAAGTGGGACCAGCAGTTAGCGTAATGGCTATGTCGCTAGACTCCCATGTAGTCGACTGTGGTTCGAGTCCTGGCCCCGGTGGCTTAAACTCATGCTGGGCACGTGTGCATGAGTGCCCAAGATCCCAAAAGGAGAATAGAGGAAAAGGGATTGTGGCATGGCCATCTGCCCTGGGGGGTGATTTCTCACTTTCTGTCTCTCTGTCTCTCTCTGTCTTTCTGGCAGGCACATGTGCCCTATAGCAAAAACCTCTCCAAAAAAAAAAAAAAACGAAAAGAAAAGAAAAGAAAAGAAAACCCACAAAGCAAGAATTACATTAAGAAATAGTGGCAGGAAAGTAGGTGCAATAGAAACTGAAACGGAAGCTATTAAGAAATCAGATTATCTTCTCTCCATTGCTTTGTCTTACATGCTTTATCAGCGATCACTTGGCTATATGATAAGGGGTTTATTTCTGGATTCTCTGTGCTTTTCCACTTGTCTTTGTATCTATTTATTTTTGTACCAGTACCATACTGTTTTAAGATCACTGCTCTCTAGTATAGTTTAAAGTCTCTTTGGTAAATGGTGCTGGGTGAATTTGATATCCATCTGCAGAAAAATGAACTGGACCCCAATCTCTCACCATTACCTAGAATTAATTTAAAATGGATCAAAGACTTAAATATAAAACCTCTAACCACAAATATACTGGTAGGTGACTTTTGAATACATTGGAGTAGGCAAAGATTCCAATAAGACTCCTAAAGTACAGGCAAATAGTCCCTAAAACAGACAAGTTAGGTCACATCAAACTAAAAAGTTCTTACAGCAAAAGAAACTATAGCTAAAGTGAAAAGACAATCCTTGGAATGGAAGAAAATATTTGCAAATTATCCTCAGATAAGGGATTACAATCTAGAACATACAGGGAACTTAAGAGGCTCACCCATTAAAAAGAAGAAATAACCCAATTAAAAAACGGGCAAATGAATTAAATGAACAACTCTCCAAGGAAAACTTATAAATGCCCAAGAGCCATGTTAAAAAATTAAAAATGTTCAATGTCTCTCATCACAAGAGAAATGCAAATTAAAACTACAATGAGATATCATTTAACCCAGGTTAGAATAGCTAGGATCAAAAAAATAAAGAACGATAAGCGTTGGTGATGCTGTGATGAAAACGGAACTCTCTTACACACATCGCTGGTGGGAATGTAAATTAGTCCAACCTCTGTGGGAAACAATATGGAGCTTTCTTAAAAACCTACAGAACTTCCATATGACCCAGCAATCCCACTTCTTGGTATCTACCCAAAAGATAAGAAAACACTCAATCGGAAAGATACCTGCATACCCATGTTTACTGCATTATTTATAATTGCTAAAACATGGAACCAACCTAGGTGTACAAAATATATATATATAGTCATATATATACATACCATGGGATATTATACAGCTATAAGAAACAGGAGGCTGACAGGTGGCATGATGGTTGGCATGTTGGACTATCACATGGCTGACCATGGTTTGAGTACCAGAACGGGCGGGTTGCTTTCTTACATTCTCTCTCTCTCCCTGTCTCTCTCTAGTCAAATAAAATAATAATAAATAAAAAAAATTATTTTTTTAAAAAAAGAAACAGATTCTATTATTCAACTTAAAATAGATGAATATAGATTTAATGTTGAGTAAAATAAGCCAGACTTTAAAAGATTCACATTGTACATCCCCACTCAATTTGTTGTGAGCATCTCTACTTCATGGTAGAGGTTGAAGATATGATGGTGAAAAGGATCAGTGTGGTTGCTAGTGACAGTAAGGAGGAAAAGTAGTTGGTAGAGAGTAGGTGATGGATGGGTGGGTGTGAGATGGAAAAAAAAAGGAAAAATTTATAAATGATAAGCTTTATATAAGAGAAAAACAAATCAAAGACTAATTTCTGTACTGTCTGAAATAGTTCACCATAGTGTATACTTGTAAACTTCTGTCATCAAAAGAGTACTTTGCCTAAAAGAAAGGCATGACTAGCGTGCAAACTGTTTACAATCTTTTACAACATTATAGTATTGCAAATGAAATTGATTTTGTCAATATTTTTTGAATGAACTGAATAAAGTTTTTGTTGAAAAGAAACCATATTAAAGCCAAAGTGAATAAAGGCAGGAAGACAGGAATGGAAATTGGGAAATCTTTTTTTTTTTTTAATAGGGTGCATGCGCTCACCAGAAAGACAGAGACAGAGAGACAGAAAGCGAGAAATCACCCCCCAGGGAGATGGCCATACCGCAATCCCTTCTCCTCCATTCTCCTCTCAGGATCTTGGGCACATATGCACACAAGCCTGGCGTGAGTTTAAGCAACCAGGTCTGAGATTCGAACTGCAGTCAACTACATTGGAGTACAGCAATGTAGCCATTTTGCCACCTGCTGGTCCCAGGAAATCTTAACAATTAAGTCTAAATGAAAACTGAGTCAACAATTGGTTCACATCTCTAAAAAGGAAACCATCATGATTCATAAGACTGTCTCCAACTTGAAAAATTTTGGAATATATCATTTTACATGAAAACCTCCTGTGTAGTTATCAATTGATGCCTACACATATGCTGGAGGTCTCACTTTGCATTATATTTTTAGCTCTCAATTTTTCTCCAACATAAAAACACATTGAATATTATTCTTGATTAAAAACCATGTAATCATCCAGCAAAAGCAAAAATAGTCACAGGCATTGGTACTACTTATGTTCAGGCAGTATAATTTCTGAATATTTTGCTCTTTTTATTACATGAAAGAAAACAGTTAAGTGACAACTAAAAGAATGTCTGCTAATATAGTCACACAAATATGTATATAAAATATTAATCAGTAAGAAGGCTAACATTTTAAACATAAATACTATGATCTGTGTTATGTAATTTTTTCAAAGAAAAATATCAGAAAACTCAAAACATGTTCAGGCAGTATAATTTCTGAATATTTTGCTCTTTTTATTACATGAAAGAAAACAGTTAAGTGACAACTAAAAGAATGTCTGCTAATATAGTCACACAAATATGTATATAAAATATTAATCAGTAAGAAGGCTAACATTTTAAACATAAATACTATGATCTGTGTTATGTAATTTTTTTCAAAGAAAAATATCAGAAAACTCAAAACTATGAAGCCAGTTTCAAAAAACTGCAAAATATATAAAATGCTTGTCATACCTTGTAAAATCTGTCTGCTGGGTCCAGTTGTTTCTTTTAAGGAGGGACCATCTGTAGAGAATTAAGTTAAATTATTTTAAAACATAACTTCAATTCCTGATTGAAATTTTTGCAATTCAGAGTCCTTTTCATTCAAATGTATCATGAAGGATGCATGACTAGCCACACCAGATATACAAAATTATGTTTCAAGTTTAATAAAGTAATTGCATGGAGGTAAATTTAGGGGAGACAATTTCAAAATGCATTTAAGGGTACAAAGTATTTCAGAAATTATTATATTAAAAAAATTTAAAAACAGCAAGTCAAAATTATTGTGAGTCTTCTAATATTCATTTTAAAAATTCTGATATTTTTACAATTGGAAAATTCAAAGTAAACCAATATACTTATTAAAGTTGTAAGATGTCCAAGAAGCCAGTAGAAAATCTAGAATAACCTAACTACGGCAAACAATGGATTTCCAATAGTTTCTAGAAGGATACAGCAAGCTTTTCACACAGAAGAGACAAAAGCCTTTTTTCATTTTGCCTTTCTGATGAAAAGATGAAAGAAATACTACAATTTCTACACTTAAATACTCTGAAAGTTATAATCAGTTTTAACATTAAACTACAAAAGAGGGCCAGTGGTGGCGTAGTGGTTAAGGCAGTTGGCTCCTACATGGCTAACTGTGCAGTTTAACTCCAGACAAGTAGTTTGGGATACACACTGGGTACCTCTGTATTTGTACAAAATCCCCAGAGAAGATGGACGAGAAAGGAATGATGTGACCATCCTCTGAGGAGTGGCATGCTTTCTCACTCCTCCCCATTCCTTCTCTTGCCAGGGAATGCATGTGTTTTATTGCAATTCTTTTATAAAGTGGAAAACATAGGTAAAGAAGGCAAGGGAGGGGCAATATTAGTTTAAAGGAACCATCAGGAAGACTGCCAAGGACTCTGACCACAACCAATACAGGTTAAGGTTTCTTGGTTCAAAGTACAAAAAGGACGAAATATTCATATCACAAAGCTTTGATACAGCATTGTAATAACGCTCTGCAACAACATAACAAAGAGTTACGAAAGTATAAAGGTGCACAAGATTTTGTCTAGATTTGATATTGTGTGGTAAGATAATATATTTACTCTGAAAATCCACTGCTAGTCAAAAGTCTGTTTTAAAAATCTGGCTCCTGATAAAGGCATTAGATTTGTCTTTAAATAGTAGGTCTAGATAAAGATAGTTGTTTCTCAAATAATTATTTTCAGCGGTATATTCCTCTGTACTAATACAATCGTTATATGAGACAACATAACTCCCACCTAAATAAAATCTAAAAGTCCTAAATACAAAATTTGTTATCTGTGAGGACCAGCAGTTAGCATAATGGCTATGTTGCTGAACTCCCATGTAGCCGACCGACAGTGGTTCGAGTCATGGACTTGGTGGCTTAAACTCACGCCGGGCACGTGTGCGTGCGTGCCCAAGATCCCAAGAGAATGGAGGAGAAGGGATTGTGGTGTGGCCATGCCCACTGGGGGGGTTATTTCTCGCTTTCTCTCTCTCTCTTTCTACCTTTCCTACTTTCTTATAAGATAGGGACAACAGTGTACCTACCCCAGTGCTCTTACTATTATGAAAATTTTAAAAGTTACTGCAGGGGAAGCACTTAGAATATGTCAGGAACGTGATGAACATTCAAAACTACTGACAATAATCAGTATCATTTTTGATGATGATGACTAAAATGACCGTATTAGGTCACCAGAAGCATTTAACTCCTAACAATTTTATCTGCCTTTTTTTTCCCCCTTTTTCTTTTTGCTATAGAGCATGTACATTCCTGGAGATAGACAGAGATGGGTGAGGGAATAAGAAAGTACCCCCCAGGGAGGACAGCTTTGCTACAATCCCTTCCCTCCATTCTCTCCTGATTTTGGCCATGTGTGCACACACACCCAGTATATTCTTCAAGTTGGGTCTGGGTCTCAAACTGTGCTGTCAGCCATGTGGAACCCAGCCACCTTAACCTCCACACCACCTGCTGGCCCCTCTGATAAAATTTTTAAACATTTGCTCCCATTCTGCCAAAAAACAGAAACACATATTATTACCTAAAATATATTATATATGTATATGTTACCTAAAATAAAACCTAAAAACAAAGCATGTTTTTTCTTTTTTTTTTTAAGATTTATTTTATTTAACTTTTTTTTTTGATTTGACAAGATAGGGACAGAGTGAGAGACAGAGAGGCGAGAGAGAAGAGAGAGAGAAAGTGAGACCACAAGTCACCAGGTTCAGGATTCAAACCGCAGTGGGCCATGTGGGAGTCCAGCACCCTTAACCACACACCACCTGCTGGCCCCTACAAAGCATGTTTTTTCTAGTAAGTTAAAAGAAAAACAAAACTTTTGTAGACTTCACCAAGTAATCCTAACAATGGAAGGATAGTTAAATTGTTTTTCTCTTAGTTATTACTTTGGGGGGGGGGAGTATATGAAAGATGAGTAAAATCTAGAAAAAAATTGATTAAGCAATTTAAGAAGCTTATAAACAAATATAAATAGCCCTTATATATTTCTAAACTCAATAAATGTTTAACGAGTTGCTCCTATGTGCCAGACACTGTAGTACAATCTGTTAATGAAAAGTTAAATAAGATACAGTTCTTGAGCTCATAGAACTCATAGTTTATTGAAGGAGAAAGACCATAAAAACTAATTACATTAAAAGATGGTTTCATTCTCTTCTCAATTTCAATTTTGTCTTTGTTGGATCCCCAAAACAATTAGTTAAAACTTGCTTTAGGCTAACTCTAGAATTACACGATTATGCTACATTGCGAAATCAGCACTGATTCCACTAAAGAAGTTACTCAGAGTTTTAGGTAAGGACAAGCAAAGTATTCCATTTAATCAATAAGATGCAATACATATAAGGAATTTGGTTTCTAGAGTCACAAAATTCAAAAGCTTTTCTAAAACTGATCTGAGAATGCCCCATGTCATGCCAATTCTTCTTTCCCATTTATCCTTCTTCCCTTGCTTGACCAAAAAGGACCTACCTTTCTTTATAATAGAATCATATTATAGCCCAAATGTGGGGGAAAAAAAAAATCTAGGGTAACAAACAAGGGACATTTGAAAATATTGCCAATGTTAGGAAAGTAATTACTTTAAGACTGGTTAATAAATTACTTCTTTTTTTTTTTTTTTTAAGATTCTTGTCATAGAGCACGTGCGCTCACTGGAGAGACAAAGAAAGACACAGAGAGAGGGAAAGTGAGAAATCACCCCTCAGGGGGAAAAGCCATGCCATAATCCCTGTTTCTCTACTCTCTTCTTGGGATTTAAGGCATTGATGCACACTCACCCAGCGTGATTTTCATGCCGCTGGGTTGGGGACTAAAATGCAGTCAGCCATATAGAAGTCTAACACCTTAACCACCATACAATCTGTTGGCCCCTCTAATGATTTGCTTTTAATAAAATGTAAGGATTAACTAATAAGCATCCCAATTAGTAAATCATTAAAAATATTTTTGATGATAGATCCCTGTAATCATTGGAACATAATTCTGAAGGTGTTCAAAGAAACTGACAAATTTGCTTTAATAGAATTCTTTCTACTTAAGGTTTCTTAGTATTTGTATTTAAAGATGAAAAATAGAAACAGACTTGATTCCAAAACTGTTTTATACCAATAACTATTCTTTATCCATACAATAATTGGGAGGGGAAAAAAGAGCTCTAATCATCTAAATTTGTATTTCAAATAAAATGTTGCATTTTCCCAAATAACTATATATCATATTTGAGACAGAATTATTTTGATTAACTACTAGTAATGGCTGCAATTATTCCATCCAAAAGAAATGGCTGAGTACCAAGTATTATGTTTATAGGAAATAAAAAATTTAAATATACATTCATATTTTACTACCAAGATATATGACAGGTAATCAACTAAAGTCTTAATATAACTATAGTCTGTTATTATATAATTTTGGAAAGGAAATAGAATGGAAATAAAAATTCAAGGAGAAACAGGATAATGTAAAATTTGTATTTGTTTTCACATTTTTCAGTGGGTGATCAGGGCTCTCAAATCACTAACATACTTAGAATTCACTGAATTCTACATACATTTAGTAGAATGATTTAGGAGTTTCTAAAATATTATGTATAACATGTTAAAAATTATATTCTTTAAGAGTATTTAATCAAAACGTTTTTAGAAATCATCTTACAGATGTGAAGGATATCCAGTTTCTCAAAATTATTTTGGGATGCATATGAATAAAAATGTTGGAAAAACAAGGTTTTTAAAGCATACTTGTATAATCATTATAAAAATTCAGCAAATTTTAGAGATTCACACAGGCAACCAAAGCAAAAATAGACAAGTGAGATTATAGCAAACTAAAAGGTCATAGCAAAGGACAACAACAAAATGTTAAGGCAATCTACAGTATGGCAAAAAACATTCCAATTATTCATCTGGTAGAGATAAACAAAGTATATACAGAACTCATATATACCGCAGCACAAAAAGAAACCAAAACAAACAACCTAAATAAAAAATGGCCAGAGGGACTAAACAGACATTTCTCCAGAGAAGACATACGAATAGCTAACAGGTATATAAAAAGACATTCAACATCACTAATCATCAGGGAAATGCAAATCAAAACTACAATGGGATATTACTTCACACCTGTCAAAAAGGCTGTTATCAAAAAACGAAAAATAACAAGTATTTTTGAGGACATGGAGAAAAGGAAACCCTTGATAGTGAGAATGTAAATTGATGCAGCTACCATGGAAAGAAATAGACATTCCATCGAAGCTGGTCCCATAGAGCAGTGAAGTGCTGTGCACAGAACGCTGGATCCCATATGGCTAACAAAGTTTGAATCCCAGCCCCGGTGGCTTAAGAAACACACCAGGCACACGGTGTGAGTGCATCCTTCAAATACTGATGGAATGAAGAAACGGAGGAAAAAAGAATTCAGTAGGACTATGAGAAATGCGCGCTCTCTCTCTCTCTCTCTTTCCCCCATCCCCCTCAAGTGAGTACGTGTACTCTCTAGCAATTAAAAACAAACCAAAAGATCCAGCATTCTGGCTATATAACATAACCAAAGGAACAAAAATAAGGATCTCAAAGAGATTCCAGCATGTCCTTTTTCACTACTGCATTATTCACAACAGCTAAGACATAAAAAAAAAACTTAAAAATCCATTCAGACAAATGAATAAAAAAAATGTGGTATAGACATACAATGGAGTATTATTTGGCCTTAAAAAATAAAGTGATCCTGGCCCAGCTGCAGTGGTGGAAGCTACGTGGGAGACTGGATTCAGTTCACAGTCTAATCTGAACATACTGATTCTAGCACTCCAATAATCCTTCCTAATTAGGAAGCTTGGGCAGGAGGATTACAACAATAAGACCTTGTCAGAAATGTGTAGTTCTGTTTCTTTTACTTTCCTTTTTCCTTGTTCTCCCTCTCTTATAAGGAAAAAACAAAAAACAGAAAGCAAAAAAAGAAGGAAGTCCTGTCATTTGGGATAATGTGGATGAACCTAGAGAACATTACACAAAGTGAAATAAGCTAGGCACAAAAGAATACATACTACGGGATAACATTCACACGAAGAATATAAAGTAGTCAAACTCTTAGAAACAGGGAGCAGAATGGTAGTTGCCAAGGGCTAAAGGGAAACGGAAATGATTAAATATCAGTCAAAGATAAAAAGTGCCAGTTATGGGACCAGCAGATAGCATAATGGCTATGTCGCTGGACTCCCACGTAGTCAACCGTGGTTCGCATCCCGGACCCGGTGGCTTAAACTCACGCTGGCTGCATTTGCATGCGTGCCCAGGATCCTGAGAGGAGAATGGAGGAGAAGGGACTGCGGCGTGGTCATCCCCCTCGGGGGGTGATTTCTCGCTTTCTGTCTTTATGTCTCTATCTGGCGAGCGCACGCGCCCTATAGCGAAAAACCTCTAAAAAAAAAAAAAAAAAAGTGCCAGCTATATAAGATAATTAAGTCCTAGAGACCTATACAACATAATGTTAAGTATGTACAATGCAGTATTAATTATACTCATTATGTCACTATAATTAATACTGCATTGTACATACTTAATAATTTGTCAAGAGTGTATATTTATGGTAAGTATTCTTATCACAAAAATATAAATAAAAATAACAGGGCAGGAGGAGGGGGCAGAGAGTGACAGAGGGTAACATGTAACAGTCTCCAAAGTAGACACACATGGGAAGGTTATCAGGTAGCATCCAGAGATCTTTCTGAGTATGCCAAGTATGTGGGTGCTCATGATCCAGATTGGCTGAGGCTGGGTGTTGAGAGGGATGTTGAGACCCTCATCTCTGTCTCTCCCTCTGTATCTCTTTCACTTATGAAATAAATAAATAAAACTTTAAAAAAACAGCTCTTGAAAGTGATGAACATGTTTATGGCATAAAATGTGGGACAGCTTCATGTGTATATATTTATTACCAGACTCATCAAGTTGTATATATTAAAAATGTACAACTTTTTGTATATCAATATCTCAATGAAATAGTTTAAAAATTTTAAATACTGAAAAATTAGAAACTTAGAATGTTCATTCTTCAAGACCTCTGTCATATTTTCAAATCTAAAACTTTTAAATTCTATTTGACAAATACAGATAATATTTAAGCAAACGATTTATTTAAAGATTAATCAAATTGTGTTACCTAATCAGCTTTCGTCTATTAATCTATACTCTGAAATTCATAAATAAATTGTAATTTAAAATATTAAGTTTATATATTCTTTTTACTTAGTACCTAATGCTATATAAGTTAGCATACAAAGGTTTCTAAAGAAGCATGGAGGTAAATACCAGGTAATAAGTACACCAAAAATTACAATAAAAACGTGAAAAACTGAAAACCCTTATTGTATTTTTACAAACCTATCCAGCACAAAAGCCTTCATCATACTTCAAAACTTGTGATTTTCATTTGTTAAATTTTCAACTGCTCCTCTTTCACTAATACTAGTTTTATTACTGTACACTTGCTGAAAAAAAAAGCTATTAGGTCGGGAAAGTCATGACGCATTCTTCTATGCAAAAATGCATCATGACTCTCCCGATGACCCAATATACCCACTGTTTTATTCTGTTAATCTCATGGTACTGAAAATGAACTAGTTAATTTCATTATATACTGAAAATGAACTAGCCATGGGTACTCTTAGAATAATCATTAGAAAGGAATTGATTCAAGTGTCTTTTTAATAGACTGTTTCAACTAGGGAGAGTAACCTATACAATTCCTGCTTATTTGGAAGGCTGTCCATTCGGAAGCCTGTTGGCTGTACTCACCATGAGAATGAAAGTGTCCATGTCCATGACCATGATCGTGGCCGTGTGAAGTACCATGTTTCACATCATGACCATGGCAATGATCTCCATGGCCGTGTGCCAAATCTAGAGCACCGTTAAAGAGGGAATGACTATGTCCATGGCCTAGAAAACAGAGGGTTAGAACAGAAGTTATGGAAATATAGACAGTTATGAAAATACTAACACTAGTGAAAAGAATCCACACTAAACCCAGACTCAAATAAATACTTATTAGTAAAAAAAGGTTAAAAGATTCCCTAAACAATCTTGAGTTCCTACAGGAAGAAAATGAAAGCATAGAGGAAAGTGATTTCTACTAGAAATAAAGTAAGTACTTACTGAAAATATGCAGAAAAGTTCAAAGAGATTAGATGTTATTCATTAATTCAAGAAATATTTATGTGGAACATACTACATTATTCTAGGCATTGGGGATTAAAGCAGTAAACAACATAGACAAAAAAAAAAATCTGTTGGCCAAAATTTTACAAAGTACTTTCTTTTTTGTTTTGGAGAGGTTTTTGCTATAGGGCACATGTGCTCGCCAAAAAGACAGAGAGAGACAGAGAGAAAGAAAGACAGAGGGGATGGTCACGCCACAATCCCTTCTCCTCCATTCTCCTCTCAGGATCTAGGGCACACACTCACACACGCCTAGTGTGAGTTTAAGCCACCAGGTCCGGGACTCGAACCGCGGTCAACTACATGGGAATCCAATGGCATAGCCATTACGCCATCCGCTGGTCCCCAAAGTACTTTCATATAGACAAAAATATATTAAACAAGATGCATGCATGTTGTCACACTGAGGCTGAGGCAGAGTCAGGGAATGCCAAGCTGCTGCACTGTTCCCCTCATTTAAAAAAAAAAAAAAATAGTCAGTAAAATTACTTAAAAATGAAAGTAGGAAAAGTTGCAAGAAACACAAAGGGATGCACAATCCTCTCTCCATAGCAGACCTAAGTTACTAAGCCACTAAGAATATCATATATAAACTATATCAAAACAAAGAAAAAGACTGAATGCTACCCAATTCAAAAACATCACCTACATTTGCAAAAATCCTGAATACCAGTAAATCAAACCCAGTACTACATGATATGAAAAACCCATGACTGTGGGAACAGTAGGAGGAGAACTTGGTGAACTACCTTGCATCTGAAGTATCAAAAATATGGGAAAAATAAGTAATGACTATGTCAGAACTCTGGCAACTAATCACAGAACAAACTGAAAATTAATCTATCAGAAAGAAACTTCTGAACTTTAATAAGATAACAGGGTTTAACTTGGGTGCTTTTCCATTCTACCTCCCTCCCTAGTCTGTGAACAAAGTAGTCAAAACCCAGGACTACAGACAACGGGAAGACTAGATCTCTTTCAAAGCTTTGTTAAGAGTACCATCTTCTGAAATCTGCCAATATTTTATCCAAACTCGTAGCTCACAGGAACAAGTCCATATTCTATTAATATGGAGATTAGACTCAGAACTCAGACCAGTTTGGGGAAATGAGGACATGGGGCTGGGTATCACCAAAACAATGGCAAGTTTCTAGCAGTATCTCAGCTGCTCATGACTGATTTCACCTGGGGGAAACAAGAGCCTGACTGAACTAAAAGAAAATCCAGGAGTAGACGACCATAGGAACTTTGATAACCACCAACATATTCCTTGGGATTTAAAAGACGGCATGCATGCCATGCATTTATACGCCGAAGACTGAAATGAGAAAGAAAGAAATCATCTACTACTGACCTTGAGGCCCTGCACAAACAGGAAGTGAAGGTAAGGTTGTTTTGTAAACTGTCTTTAAGTTTGAAAGCATGTTATCCACAAAGATCCCTTCAACAAAAGTAGATTTATAGGGAAGGCATTTAAGGAAATCTTCTGACTAATTACTGGCTGAACACTAAATTATATTGGCCCAGGTGTCACCCCTAGGAAGCCAGGTTCAAAATAAAACAAGAATTTAGAATGCTAACAAAGGACTCAAAGACCACACATTCCAAGAAATACACAATCTACTGAATTAGTCTAGGAAAGACATACAAAAACAACCCAACAACAACAAAAACACAGGCATCAACAAACTTTGGAGGGGTAATCTGACACTAGAGTTGTTACAATATATTATCAAAAATGTACAAGTCCTAGACCTGGTGGCTTGCAAATCATACCAGAAATGTGTGCATGCATGCCCAAAATCCCAAGAGAGGAATGGAAGAGAAGGGATTGTGGCATGGCCATCTCCCCTGGGGTGGGGGTTGATTTCTCACTTTCCCCCTCACTGTCTCTGTCTTTCTCTCCAGCTAGTGCACACACCCTAAGGCAAAAATCTCTTAAAAAAAAAATCCACTTTTCATCAAAAATTATAAGATGTTCACAGAAATGGGCAAGTATGATAAAGATAAAAACAACTAATAGGAAATGCCTCTGAGGACACCCAGATTTCAGACAGTAAAGATTTCAAATCAGAGAACCAGCAGTTAGCGTAATGGCTATGTCGCTGGACTCCCACGTAGTCGACCACGGTTCGCATCCCGGACCTGGGGGTTTAAAACTCACGCCGGGCACATGTGCATGCGTGCCCAAGATCCCGAGAGGAGAATGGAGGAAAAGGGATTGCGGCGTGACCATCCCCTCTGGGGGGTGATTTCTCGCTTTCTGTCTCTATGTCTCTGTCTGTCTGGCGAGTGCACGCATCCTATAGCAAAAACCTCTCAAAAAAAAAAAAAATTTCAAATTATTACAAATATGATCTAATGAACTAAAGGAAACCATGAACAAGTAATAGAAGGGGAAAAATTTGAATGGCTTAAAAACATACTAGAAAGATGTTCAACCTTACTACTAAGTAGAGAAATACCAAAGAAAATGAGATATTATTTTTATCAAATTATTAGCAAACCTGTTTTAAACCTACATCCTTAAGTGTTGATGTGGGTGGGAATAAATTAATACTTGCATTTATTCCTGGAGGTAAATGTAAATGACAGTTATTTTGGAGAACAATTTGCCAGTGCATACTTAAGCTAAAAATGTATATATGCTCTGTTTTGGAAATTCTTCTTATACCCTAGCACAGTGCAATTCCAAGAACCCTATGTGATGACAGAAAAGTCCTGGATCAGTGTTGTCCAATATGGTAGTCCATGTGGCTACGAGCATCTGAAATGGCACTAAGCATGAGTGAGGAATTGGCATTTTTCATTTTAATTTTTTTAAATTGCCAGAGGACATGTGTGCTCACAGAGAGAGAGAGAAAGCACCTCCCAATGATGTGTGATCATACCTTTATACCTTTTCCCTCCATTTCTTCATCCTATCAGGATTTTGAAGACCAAGCACACATGCTGGTATTCTCTCAAGTTGCCAGGTCCAGGACTCAAACTGGGATTGGTGGGTCCGGCAGGTGGCGTGGTGTTTAAGGTGCTGGACTCCCAGATAGTGGACCACATATGGTTTGAGTCCCAGATCTGGCAGCTTGCTTTCTCACTTTCTCCTTCTCTCACTCTCTGTCTCTTTGGTCAAAATAAAAAATAACAGTAAATGAAAATAACAAATAAAATTAAATGAAGAGGTAATTAAAAAAAATAAAACTGGGATTGGCAGTATAGGCTCTAAATCTCTAACCCACTCTATGGGGTTATACCTTTAATCTTCTTTAATTCTAATTAACTGAAATTTAAGTTTAAATAGCCACATGAGACTAATAATTATCATATAGGAAAGTACAGCTCTGGAAAAACACTGGCATATGATGTTCACAAGATAGGCTTTATATGGATTAGTGGAAAAACAGAAACAAGGAGAATCTATCCATACACATTAGTTAAACAGACTACAGTGATCTACACCATCGAGTTTTATGTGGCCATTCACAAGACGAAGTAGAATGATGCATACAAAATGAAAAAAAATCTCAGACAGATCATATAGCAATTCCATAATCAGAAGCACACACAATGTTTTAATAACTAGATGTGTGTTTTCTGATATTTATTTGTTTGTTTTATATAAATGGTATCATACTGAATGAGTCACAGAGGTCTGAAGAAATCCACACAAAACTGGTAACATATACAACTCTGAGAAGGCATGAGCTAGAGGAGCATCAGGGAGTAAGAGGGCTCCAAAACATAATAACATCTGTCTACTAACACCTTACATTTGTTATTAAAAATCAATACAAAGTTTAACTTTAAAAATTTTCAATTCTCTAAAATAAAGAATTATGACAGAAAATTTGGTAGAAAATGAAGAAACAAAGGGTTCTAACCGTCATACCAGAGCCATGAGAATGTCCATGACCTCCATGCTTGAAAACAAATATTCCTATCAGGTTTACCACAAACCCAAGAATTGAAACAAGTAGCAGTCTCTCGTGGTGTACATCTGGAGGTGCTAATGCTCTCTAGAAGACACATAATACAAACAAATAGCATTGATATCATTTCTGATGCATCAACTGGTAAAAACATATGGCAATATTCACATTTTTCAGTTATTTTCAGAATAAAAAGTGCTAAAACAAAAAAAGTATCAAAATAGTTTAGAAATAAATCCAGTGCTCATATACTGCAGAAAAAGTAAAAGTAACAATTACTATTTTAAAACAAATATAAATACTGAAAAGCATGATTATTTGGTCCAAAATCTGTTCCTTGTGAGTATCTTAAACTACTGCCTTTTACTTTAAGTTCATTAATCATTAGATTTTCTTTCTCTATTTATAAAAACATTCCAAATATGAATGACCCATTGGGAAAATGCTCAGGTTCTACTTTAAGAAAACTTCCCAACTGACCTGACTACCTGGATTGTGCCTTTACTAATCAAAGTATAAACACTACAGAAATGTAATTTGCTGACTCTGATTATTATCTACTATACCTCAACTCCTTCTGAGAAAATAAAAAAAGCAGTGAAGATCAAAAACAGGCCATTGACAAAGCCAGCCAGAACTTCCGCTCTAACATACCTAAAGAGAAGCAAAGTAAACAAATGTATTATTATTTCTTTAAAAATCAAATCACAAATTCAGATACATTTAGAGATTCTAAGCCATATTATACAGTAGCCACTAAAGTCCTAGTATTTGTAATATAGTACATTTTATTTTACATACATAACAGAAATTAATGAGGAAATAAATTATTATGAATTAGGTTTAATAGTAGAATGCCACAGAACATATAGATTTCTACATGCCAGTCCAAAGATCTTCTTAGAGTAAGTAGGTTTAGAGAGATCTTTCACACAAACATAAATCTCAAGTTGCCAATGGAGAAGGAAGAACAGGACCAAACAAGTAGTCAAAGAAGGATCCAAAGATAAAAAGTAGAAGAAAGGCTAGAAAAAGGATTCCGTCTTTCTAAGAATTCCTTATGCCTTATGCCTTGTATCTTTCAAATCTTTGGGAAGTGGAGCTTTGAGTTTAAGTAAAATAAGATTATTTCTAAATTATTCCAGAGACAACTTGAGATTTATATCTCTATCACTCCTTTTCTAAGATTAATAAATTTAGCATAAACTTTTTTAGACTCAGTTCTAGCTTCCCATGATTCTAATTAAACTATCTTTAAAATACCTGACTTTCTCCAGGGACTTCTGAAGCTTTCTGCTTCCTACCTGTGTGAAGCATTGGGGAAAGATTTATTTTTCCACAAGGTATATTTGGCTTAGTTAAAGTCATTAGAAACAACTTCAACTTAACATTTTTACGTATTCAAACATTCAAAGGGCCCTGACAGCAGCTAATCACTTTGGTCCTTAATGTACCTTTCTGTGTTTTACTCTAGATAATACAATTTTTATTGTAAAAATGGTTTTAGGGAAATTAGACTCTAAAATATACTCTACTGAATCATATTAGAGTTTTTCCTATCAGGTACATTTCAACAAGCCTGAATTTATATATTCAGAAATAATATATCTTCTATCTTCTAACTATTAAAAACATATTAAATGGGACCAGCAGATGGCATGGCTAACCACGGTTTGAGTCCCAGACCTGGTGGCTTGCTTTCTCACTTTCCCTCTCTGTGTGTCTCTCTCTGGTCATATTAAAAATAAATGAATGTTCAAAAAAAAATGAATGAATAAGTAAAATGAAATAAATAAATATTAATGTACTATTAGTCAAAGCATTTTTTTTTCCTAGAGAAAAATTCATTATATTCAAATAATGCACAGGCAGCTTTCCACAGCCTATATTTAGGAACTTATCTAATAAATCAGCAAAGTTACTGTCCAAAAAATAAAAAAGCATTTTCTTTAATCCCCCTTCCTAGTCCCATAGCTAATGCTTGATAGAAAACCTTCTGCCCTTGAGTTCCACTAGGTTTCAAGATCAAAGGCAAGAATGTTTTTCAGGCATCTTTTTGTTCCTGATTCCTAACTTAGTAGGTGTGCTCCATAAATTCTGATAAAGTGTTGGGCTCAAATGATTAATTAGCTTTAATATATTTGCTAAACATAGTTGTAGGTTTAAAATGAAAAACACTTGCCTTTACAACTGACTGTTTATTTGAACAGAATGAGTGTTGGAATTAGAACACGTAACTGAATAACACACTGTTGCCTAAATGAGTATGGATGCTTGATTGTCCATCACAGTAAAAAAAAAAAAATACAAGTATATGTATATAAGCATATACATATACATCTTCCTTCCTACTGAATATATTCTATATACTTTGAGGCCGACTCTGCCATTTCAAAAATAGGAGTACGACAAGACACGAATATGACTCCTATATAAAGAAGCACTAAGAAGGCTTCATTCTCTCTCAGATTCCCCTACCATTTCTCCTACTGAAGAGCCAATCTGCTATTATGATCATCTTGAAATAGGGGCTTTGAAGACTTCAGCCCTGGGCTCAGTCTGTTCAGGTAAATTTGATAATGATACTATTCGTTTACTTCTGCTGCTACTTGCTACTATAGCAAGTAGTCATAGTTTCAAATGTTGTATCAGCTTTCTTAATCTTTCCCAAAAGGAAGGGAAAGAAAAAAAAAAAAAAAACACAAGGAGAAGACAGAATAAGAACCAAAAAGTGTCAAAAATATTACTCTTGCCTATTAACTAGCTAAAGTTGAATATTAAAATCCACTATGGCTTTGAAGATATTCAAAACTATTCCTAAAAACCTGATTAACAGCAGGGAACAATGCACTCTAAATGGGAAACATATTGTTTCCTTAAGCACCAGGAACTAAAGAGAATTTTTAATAGTTACCTACTGTTCATCGTGAAAGGCTGCTGAATAAGATAATCTAAGTAACTTCCATTATAATGTATAAAAATGACTGATTTTCTAACAAAAAGATACCTTTAGGTATAATATTTCTTTAAGGATTGAAAATATACTTCCAATATCTACAGTTCAAGATTATTTGAATATCATTCACATAGTGCCATAGAAAATGTTATTATTTGAGCTTTATATACAGGCTCTCCTGTTCTATAAAAACAGAACTTTTTGTTCACTTTTGCTGATTTTTTTCACATAGCCATTTGGTTATAAGTAAAATCAGCAATTTCTACTACAGAACTTTATATCTCTCTTTTAGCCTGTGTCATAACATAAAGTTATAACATTTTTACAAAACAGTTTCCCCATCAGGCCACAAGTTCCTTCAAGGCAGTTACCATGTTTTATTTATCTTTGCATTGTAGAACTAGCAAAGTATTTGTCTCATAGTGGACCCTAAATAAACACCTGAAGAGAACAAGAAACAGTATGTGAAGAGAAAGCGTGTGCTTGCTAAGAACAAAACCAAAAATGGAGAGAAAAGAAGAAGCAGTAAAGAAACCAGAGTAAAATGAAGAACATGCGGAATAAGAGTGTGAATAAGGTGAGTATGAAGAGGGAGAGAATGAAAGAAATTGCACAGGAAGGGAGCACTCAGAGAAGGAGAATCAGTGAAAGAAGTGAAGAGCTGGGGAAGGGCAAGATGTCAGAAATCCAGCTGAATAGGTTTTAAGAAGGGGAAAAAACAGATAGGGGTTATTAACTGTTGATGATGACATGTATAGTATTCTCAACTGGATTGGTCTGAGAAGTATTTCATGATGGGCAAAGTATTTTTACAAGCAAAACGAGAAATAACAATTGACTGTTTTATAAAAATAATTAGAATAATAAAAATAATGATTGGGAAAACAGAAAAGATATTGAATGTTGAAGTGGGCAGATTAAGGTCTCTGTACTGACTGACATGCATGGCATTCCCTTTTGAAAAAACAATGTAATACAATGTAAAGTTATATGTAATCCAATGTAATATAAAGAAGATTATAATGATAATAAAAATAAAAATTAAAAAGAGTTAGAGCTTGAGAGATACGGTGGTAAAAGGTGGAGAAAAAGAGCAGTAGAGAAGAAAGAACAGCCAGATAAGGTATGGGGGAGAGGTTAAACAGAGCAAGTGAGATCATGAACCCAAGCCCAAATAATTAGAAAAAAAGAACAAGAAAGGGAGAGAATGAGTTCAAAAGAGAATGATAGAGAAAGAATGAATGTCAGGATAGGAATAAGAGAAAGAAAAAGAACAGAGAGAATACAAAGAACAGTCGGGGAAGGTAAGAAAAGAGGACGATAAAAAAGGAGGGAAAGAAAGAATCAGCAATTAAGCCAGAACGAGAGAGGAGCAGGTAAGGGAAAGAACACGAAGAGAAAGAAAGAAGATGAGAGTCCTAAGCTCTGTTTACACACGAATGTAATTGCACTGTAAAATATTCTGAGCTCAAAAAAGGAAACACTCCAGCAGTGTAATCAAATAATAGAACATCCATTGCTTCCTCCAATCACGAGATGGTAAAGAGCAAATTCTGCCTCTAATATGATCTAATAGTTCCTTCAGTATAAAAATATTCTCCAAATATTTGATTAATTTCTCAAATCAGCAAGTGTATGAGAAAAAGTATTATACACAAAAGCAGAGCCAAGAGGATAAAAAACCATATTAGGAAATGTTTTAAATAAATTAACAGTTGGGAACCAGCAGTTAGCGTAATGGCTATGTCGCTGGACTCCCACGTAGTCGACCGCGGTTCGTGTCCCGGACCCGGTGGCTTAAAACTCACGCCGGGCGTGTGTGCGTGCGTGCCCAAGATCCCGAGAGGAGAATGGAGGAGAAGGGATTGCGGCGTGACCATCCCCCCTGGGGGGTGATTTCTCGCTTTCTGTCTCTATGTCTCTCTCTGTCTGTCTGGCGAGCGCACGCGCCCTACAGTGAAAATCTCTCCAAAAAAATAAATAAAAAAAAAATAAATTAACAGTGATACATCCTTTCAAAAAGAAAAAGAAGGAAAGAAAAGAAACATAACTATTTTCATATACTAAAAATTTTTCTGGGGCCAGCAGGTGGCATGGTAGTTAAGGTATTGAAGTACCACATGACAGTGACTCAAATCCCAGACCTGGTGGTTTACTTTATCACTTTCCCTCTCTCTCTCTCTCTCTCTCTCTCTGTGTGTGTGTGTGTGTGTGTGTGTCTTTCTCTGGTGAGCACACAGGGCCTATAGCAAATTAAAAATAAACAAATAAATTAAGTTAAATAATTCTTTAAAAACAAAAATTACTTTTTCTTCTTCAAAAAAATTGGTTAAAGGTCAGTCAATGGGACTGTGGTTGAGGCAGCTGGATCCCAATGGCTAACTACATAGTTCAAGTCCCAGACCTGGCAGCTTGAAAAAGACCTCAAGTACATATGCATCAGTGCCTGAAATCCCCAAAGGAGTGAGAAATGGAGAAGGCATTGTAGCATGGTCATCTCCCATGGAGTGCTTTCTTACTTTTCTTCTCTCCCTCTGTGTCTCTTCCTGGTGAAAATACATGCCTTCTAGCAAATTTTTTAAAAGAAAGAAAAAAGGTGAAAAATTCTGCTATGTAGTAACAATCTCAACTAAAATTTTTTTGGTAATACCAAAGTATCCTACCCATTAAACAAAAGAATTAAGGTACAAATATTGGGCCAGCCAGTGGCATGGTGGAGCGGCTGGACCCCGCATAGCTGACTGCACAATCTGAGTCCCAGACCTGCTGACTTGAAAAACACTCAGTTCATGTGTGTATGTGTGTGCCAAAAATCTCAAAAGAAGAATGTAGGAAAAGGGATTAAGGCATGGCCATACCCCTGGTGGGTGATCTCTCTCTCTCTCTCTCTCTCTCTCTCTCAACCACAGGTCACTGAGAGTATAACTTAAAAAGAAAAAGCACAGATGACAGATTCCAATTATATACTGTTCCAAACAATGCAAAATTAGTCTAAGAAGTTGTGAAAGTGGTTATCCTTGAGTGGGAAGGAATTAGAAGAGGCCTCAGCAGAGTTCAAGAGCTCACAATGTGTTCAATATGTAAAAAGTTATGGAACTTAATATTTATATTTTTCTGTATATGTTATATTTTAATAAAAAGATTTTGTTTTTTAAAAATCTTACCCGTAAGAGAATGCATCATTATCTCTCCATTTTGAAATAACAGAAGCTGCTAATCCAGCTAAAATGGCAGTGCTATCGAAAAACATGTGAAAAGAGTCGGAAATCAAGCCTAAGCTGGAAGAGAACAAACATATTTGAATATTATAATAAAATCAAATAGGCATTCTTTTCTAAAAATCTAAGATTCAACTTTGTTCATCAACAAAGACTTTGTTTCTTATAAAAGGACAAATTTAAATAAGATACAGAAAAAAATATTGAAACTCTCATACCCCCTATCTAAGAAAAATCCCAGCTGTTGCTCAGAAGGGTAGAAACAAAAGGCGTCTGTTGCTGGCAAAGGGTAGGAACCCGACCACCCCAATCTCTACCAAAGGCTGGCTGCCTCCGCAAGAGGTAGAAAAAACAGCTATTCCACTACCCAGAGATGAGGCTGAAAACCCTCCTGGGACCAGAAGCTTACACTTATATAAAGCAAACGTCTGCTACTATTGAGTGTCCAGTTCCTCCCTCCTGAACTTAGGTGTGGAGGTTGGCCAGGAGAGGAGAAGGGGAGGTACAGGAACATTAAGAATACCCATCCCACCTCTCGGGCCTCAAGATCTGCCTAAGACCCAGGTTGCAACAGGAGAACCTAGTTTCACCCCACCAAGTCTTGAATAAGGTACAAGACAACAGTAATCCACCAGTGAGGGTGCAGAGAGAGATTCCCTCATAGGGCAGATATGCAGGACACATTGAAAGCTGAGAGTGAATCAAGAACACTAAAAAATCCTTAAATATTGAAGAATAATAGGTACCACTGGGAACATTTGAAGTTTGTGGCTTGTTAAAATTAACTTGCAACAACAAAAAACACAAAACATAGCTCTAATCCATTTCCACTATTGACCAGATAGGTTCAAAACCCCCATATAAATGGCCACAGAGAAAAATAAGTGCCTATTCCTGGCCATTAATTTTAGTATCTTTAAACACAATATTTTTCAGTATTCTTTTATACACAATACCCAGCACTCAATAAATATTTATAAGACACATAAAAAGATCAGACGGTAGGGGGAACTCACTGTTAAGAGCTAAGGTGGTCAATAAAATCAGACCAGAGGGACTAGCAGTTGGCATAATGGCTAGGTCACTGGGCTCCCCCGTAGTCGACTGCAGTTTAAGTCCCGGGCTTGGTGGCTCAAACTCATGCCAGGCGCATGTGCGTTCATGCCCAAGATCCTGAGAGGAGAATGGAGAAGGGATTGTGGCATGGCCATCCCCCTTAGGGGGTGATTTCTCGCTTTCTATCTCTCTGTTTCTCTCTCTTTCTGGCAAGCGCACACGCCCTATAGCAAAAACCTCTCCAAAAAAAAATCAGACCAGAAATGGCCCAGATGTTGGAAATGTATTAAAGTATGTGGCTTAAAGCTACAGAAAATGAAAAACAAGTATACACTTTAAATGGGCAAATTACATGGTATGTAATTACAACTCAGTACAGTTGGTTTTGTTTTATTTTGTTGTTCTGTTTTTCAGACCAACTGTTAGAACAGAGGTTAGCAAGCTATGGCCTTCAGGCCAAATCAGGGCCACAATCCTGTTTTCATATACAGCTATGCTCATTAGTTTACATATTGCCTATGGCTGTTTCTACACTACAAGAGTAGAGTGGAGTTTGTGAAAGAGATCTTACAGATCTTAACGTCTGAAATATTTACTGACTTTTGTTTACATAAAAAGTTTGCTAGCCCCTAGTATAAGGCCAAAAAATAAAAAGGGATAAAAGTGAAATGTATGGCCATAATAGCATAAAGGATGAAAAAAGGAAATGAGAGTGTACTATTCTAAGGTTCTTATACATAAAGTGTTATTATTTATGATAATTTAAAAATGCATATTATACTCACTAAAGCTACTAAAACAAAGCCATTAAAAGAAGTGCAGGAAACCCTGCACCACCACAAAGTTGATGTTCTTCTACCATAGGGGCAGGAGTGGGAAACCTGTCCCCACCCAATGCCATACACAAATACACAGCACTTTGGCTGTCATGGCAGGAAAGGCAAAAATGTTGAAAAACTCTCCGACGTCCAGGCTTATGGAGTCTTCCTAAGACTGAAGCTGGGTCAAGTTAACAAATACCTCTTTGTCCTCTTCACAAACCTAGCTCTGAATAACAAACAATAACAGTCTGTAGCTTGGGGAGGGGCAAGAGAATAAAGAAAGAACATCTGTGGCATATGTACACAGAGACTACTAAAAAACAATGCAAGGTCTGACCAACTAATGGCTGATACATTAGGCCTATTTCCAGTCATAAATAATATTACTTCAATATCTACTGCTCTTTACTCACAACATTCAGCATTTGATCAAAAATTCCATTTGATCAAAAATTTCATCAAAAATTGCACGCGTGCGCGCGCACACACACACACACACACACAAATAATAAGACCTCACTGTGAAGAAAACAATCAATAGAACCAGACCAAGATAATAGTCCAGATATTGGAACTATCTTAACTCTGACTAATATGCCAAAAGATCTATGGAAAAGATGGGCAAAATACATAAATCATAGGGAGTTTCACTAGAAAAACTGGAAATATGAAAGATCAAATGGAAATGCTAGGAATAAAAAACAAAAAAGGTGCTATCATTTAGGCAATGGTGTCCTCCAAGCTCATGTTTTGCAATTTGGTCCCTAGTGTAATGACACTGGGTGGTGGTGAGGCCTAGCAGGCAGTTTGGATCATAGAGGCATGACCCTGATGAATGGATTAATGTTATCTCATAAAATGGAGTAAGTCCTAGCCCTAACAAAAAGGGGTTAGTTCCCATAAAAGCATGTTGTTACAAAAGAAACACAACTGTCCCTAATTATCTTTTTACACATTATCTGCTAACCTTTATACTTCTGTCAGTAATGTGACACAGCATGGTCCAATGCTGGCCCTATGCCAGTCCCACTGCTTAGGACTTTCCCGGCGCCAGAATTGTTAGTCAAACCAACCACTATTTTTTTAACTTCTTTAATTTATACTGTTAGTTTTGCATACACTTGACAGAGACAGAAGGAAAGTGAGAAAGCACCCCTCAGGGAGATGACCACAATACAATTCTCTCTCTTTCACTCTCTTCTTGGAATTTTGGGCACCTGTACACATACATTAAGTGTGTACTTCAAGTCACCTGGTCTGGGATCTGAATCACAACAGTTGGTGATGTGGGATCCAGAACCCTAGCCACCAAGCCACCTGGCTGGCCCTAAATCTCTATTCTTTATAAATCATCCAGTCTTTGGTATTTCTGTTAGCAATACAACAGTGAACTAAGACAAGAGGTCAATGAAAATATAAAAACAATCATACATATATCATCAACTCAGTCTTTTTTCTTTGTGTGTGTGTGGGGGGGTTAGCTATAGGGCGCATGTGCTCGCCAGAAAAACAGAGAGAGACAGAGAGACATAAAACGAGAAATCACCTCCCAGGGGGATGGCCACGCCGCAATCCCTTCTCCTCCATTCTCCTCTCAGGATCTCAGGCACGCACGCACAGGCACCCAGCATAAGTTTAAGCCACCGGGTCCAGAACTTGAACCACGGTCAACTACGTGGGAGTCTAGCCACATACCCATTACGCCAACTGCTGGTCCCTCATCAACTCAGTCTTTAAACACGTTTCCCAAGTAGAGTACCTGGTTTCAACTACCAGCTCTACATTTACTAGTTCTGTGACCATCAAACTGCTTAACTTCTTTGCTCCTCACTTTAGCCATTACTTAAACAAGGTAGCAGCATAAAAGAGTCGTAAGTTATATTGAGTCAATATATATGCAATATTGATCACAGTGCTTGACACATTACAGCCACATAAATATTCCTATTAATAATAAATTACTATTCTAATCATTTATATAATTGCATCTGCTATTACTGGAATGTGGCCTTCAAAGTTCATGTGTTCAGGTTTCATTGTGATGGGACCAAAAAGCTAGAAACATTGCTGACAGGTGGGGCCTTTGAAAGATTAGGATTACAGTCGTGATTATGGTCCCTGGTGACTGATTCCTGGTGGGTTTATAAGGAGAGAGAATATGACAAAGACTCATAGAAACAGATACACAGTCTCCTGCCCTTCTTCATGTTGTGCTGCAAGCAGAAAACCCTTACCAGATGTGACCCCCTAGACCTTAGACCTTCAAATCATGAGCTGAATTAATCTCTAGTCTCTTAAATTACCCAGGCTTGGGTATTTTTCTGTTATTACCAATAGAACAGACTAGGTATTGTTATATCTTAGAATGTCTAGAGTTCCCAAGTGTGACCCATATCCCTTAATATCTGGCTAAATACTAGAGCTTTTATCAACTGTAAGGGTTACAATTACAGAATTAGAAACTGAAGCTAAAACACGTTATTCACTTGGAAGAAAATGCACAACAATCTCTCGTAAATCATTACAAAGTATTTTGAAAAATGTCTTAAATCTTATCATTCACCAGGGTCAGCAGGTGGCATGGTATAATGTTAAGATGCTGGATTCCCACATGGCTGACCACAATTCAAGTCCCAGATCCAGTAACTTAAAAAAATCACACCAGGCATATATGCGTGCATGCCCAAAATCCCGGGAGGAGAGTGGAGAAGGTATTGTGGCATGGCCATACACCCTAGTGAGTGACTTATCTTTCCCTCTTCTCTGTCTCTCTCTGTCTCTGGCAAGTGCATGCACCCTATGGCAAATACTTAAAAAAGGTTACCATGAACTGTGTATATTTCAAAGAGATACTTGAGAAAGTCTACATGAAAATCACTTTAACTATCTCACCTATTAGTTAACTCAAAGCAGAGTAAGAATGAGTGAATAAATGAAAAACTGGAATGAGAAAATTGACATGTGAGGTCAAGGTAAGGCTCATGTTATTCATGCAATTCTCTCAGATTTGATGTCTTAAAAATTGTCCTTAAGGACCAGCAGGTGGTGTTGTAGTTAAGGTGTCAGCTCCCACATGTTTGACAACAGTTCAAGTCCCAGACCCGGCAAGTTGCAACACACCAGGCATGTGTACGTGCATGGCCAAAACCCAGGGAGGAGAGTGGGGAAGGGATTGGGCATGGC